GGGTGTCTTAGATAATCTTCAGGATTATGCGGTTTAATATTTTTCTTGGGATTGACAGGAGCATAATTCCGCGCCAGTTTTTACATTGACTTAAGTCTCCTTTCCTTGGTAGTTTGAAAAATTATCCTTTCTTCCAATCCTCAGGTACTCTGCCTTCTTTCCACACCTCCAGCAATAACGTCATCAAGTCCGCTGTTGCCTCTGGGTCCATTTTCAAAGCTTCTGCTGCGATTCCATCTGGTCCCGGTGTTTTCCCAGCTTTAAGCATCTTGATTGCATTCAGGACTTCTGATTTCGTCGGGGGGTCAGTGTTCACTGGTAGTTATGCTTCCGTTGTTGGTATAGTTGGGCGCGTTGTAGGTGGCGGACGATTTAGAAGTCTTTTGAAGTGTTCAGCCCAGTATGTCCTTTGTTCCACCTCCTTGGTGATTGACTTTCCGTTGTCATCCTTTACTAGCTTAATCTGCGTCGAACCTTTACCCGATAGGTGCCTAGTTGTTTGGTAGAGTGTGGTGAGGTCTCCTTTGCCTGCAGCTTGTTCTGCTTCGTTTGCTATGGTTTCATAATATTTTTATTTGTCTTCCCTGGCACTCTTCTTTACTCTTTTGTTCAGTGTATTGTAGCTTGAATTCAGCTCCTGTTTTTGTTACTCATCGGTGCACTAGATAATCTTTTGTTTCATTGTTCTTCTCTCTTCTATAAGTTTCCAAGTGTCCGCATTCAGCTACTGTTTGTCCTGTCTCTTCTTTCTGCCTAGAACTGCCATGCAGGTTTGACTCCACACCGTTTTCAAGTTGTCCCAGTGCTTTTCGACGCCGACCTCTTCGCTAGTGTTGATTTGTGTCTCGACTTTGTCTTTTATGCTCGCAATGAAGATGTCTTTTGTTGCTTGGTCCTTCAGCTTTTGTGTGTTGAACTTGGCTTGTGGTCTGTCTGCAGCTCCTGATTCCCTGAAAGCTTTTACTTTGATTTGGATTGTCCCTTGTACGAGATAGTGGTCTGATCCAACGTCTGCTCCTCTTCTTGCTTTTGTGTCCAGTAGGCTGCGCCTCCACTTCCTTGAGCACATTGAGATGAAGTCGATTTGGTTTTTGGTTTGCCCGTCTGGTGTCACCCATGTCGCCTTGTGTATATCTTTGTGTTTGTATACACTGCCACCGATCACTAGTTCGTTGAAGGCGCAGAAGTCGGCGAACAGTTCTCCATTTTCATTCATTTCTCGGAGAGCTTCTCTACCCATGATGAGTTCTCTTCCTGTGTCGTCTGGTCCCAGTTTGGCGTTCATGTCTCCCATTAGTATTTTAATGTCACCAGCTGGAGTGTTGTCCATTGTTGCCTGTAATTGTCTGTAGAATTCTTCTTTCTTATCGAGGTCTGCGTTGATTTTGAGTGCATGACATTGTATAATTGACACTTTCCTTCCTTTGGAGTTGTGTGTGGGGACATGATTATAACAATAATACCCTTATTTCAAACGGAAAATTTGATAACGTCTGTCTCTTTACACTACACAACCAATGTAAAAATAAATGCCAAGACGTTAACAATAGTAATGATTTTTACAGAAGTGTGATCGTTAAAAAAGTTTACGAAATTTATATTAACAGTGATAACAATGCATTAACGATACTACGAATGGGGAATACAGTTTATTTACTGTTATGCAATAAGGTAATGGTTTTATTTGGTGCATCAAAATAAAGTGAGCGCCGAACAAGGTACCATAGGGTGTATATATACTCATTTTTCCAAGTGTAAAGTCCTTTATAATTGCTTCTTGTCCTACCTATCTGATGAGATTCAAGGTGTAAGTGAGTGAAAGTTGTGTACAAAATGGTTGCTCAGAGTTCATCAAGATGATATTCGCCAATTTTTCGCATCCATTCAACAATCTGTTCACAATAATATTAAAGAGTTAGCTAAGCGACACACCACTTCCCCTAGTGACAGCTTTTATTGTCTTCTTCAATGTGTTTGAGTAAACATTAGGCGGGATGGAGGTGGACAGTTGAGGAGAATGGCCAGAATGCTGTCATAGTTTCAAGAAATATCCAACAATGTGTTCTTGGTGTCGCCATACGACTTTAGCCATGCATTCTATACTTGCCTACATCATTCAGACTGAAAGTCGATAACTGAATGAACTGTGGCCACGTTCTGGTCAGACTACATTTTATAATGAAACTGTATACTTTTGAATAACTCAGAGAAGTAGTTGTATACCAGTTATATCAAAAAATTAGGGTAGTTTAAACTGATTCCTTACTCTTAGTCAAGTCATCTAGGTAGACCCCAGATGTGTTGGCCTTCATTCGAGGGAAATGGCAGTTCAGCGTTTAGATAAGATCGATGTGACTACTACTTGCATGAGACAATCAGTGGTAGGCAGTTTTATGTAAATTGGCTTGATGCCTTGATTATCATTTATGACATGTAAAGATTTTTGGTGTACTTAGGAGACTATGGGAAAATTTTATCTCTTCAAACATGGGAAATTCGCAATTTCGATTTATATCTTATAATTTCAAGGAATTGCACCGATTCTGATTCTAATTTTCAGAAGGTTGAACTTATGATATCTGTGACTGAAGTCACGTAGAATTTGAATCTTTTGTAATTACGAATCTTTCGTCACCGAATTACATGACTGTTGGCAATTATGATAAAAATTCAAATATATAAGAGGTATGTAGATGAGACCTTTATTATTTGTAATAGTGATTGTAATTTGAATTAATATATTAAATGCATTTAATGGTTGCCATCCAACGATAAACTTCACAATCGAAATGGAGAACCAGCCTAGTATTCATTTCTTCGATGTGAAGTTATCAAGAAGGGCTCTGAAGAACTCTGAAGAGATCGATTTATCGATAGCAGTTAGGTAATCGTCAACTGACAAAGTTCTATAGCTGGATACCCATTGGTCGAAAACGAAACCTGGTCCGGTTGCTTGCCACTCGCATTCGGCGCATGATGATGAGTTAAATCTTTTTAGGAAAATCCTGATAGAAAATGGATTTTCACCACGTTTGATAGATAAGAATATACGTTGAAATACAACGAAACGTGACTTATCATCCGAACGCAAGAAAATGCTGTACATGAGATTGAAATTCAAAGGTGACTAGGTTTCCGATTTCATAAAAAGAAGTATCTCACATTTTCTGAAAAGAGCATTCTCTGCTGTGTCTTTGAGAATAACCTTCTCCAGTCAAACATTACTGTTCAATAACCTGAAGGATAAGATCCCACTGTTGACCAACTCTATGTGCATTTATCAATTCGCCTTCTTATGTGGAGCTCGGCATATCAGTCATTCGACTCGACTTTTGTCCAAACAGGGTGAAAGAACACTAAGAGGTGGAAGTTTAGTAATAAGAAGTGCGATTATTGAATATCTGGTCGATATTGATCACCCTACCTCTATAGCCCCCGCCTTTTAAGTCATCTCCAAGATAAAAAGTAATTTACCAAAATCATTACGTACTTGACTCATCTGTATTGCTGAAACCATCTTTGGCTATCGAAACAGACAAGCCAGAACTCTGTATACAGAAAACGTTCGTTCAAGCCCTCCAACTTTCATTCTCTTAATCCCTCTATTCTAAGGCAAGGTAATCCCTAATCCTATTTTTCCTCTACCAATTTTTTCGTTTTGTCTATTCAAGTTGTATACTCTTCCTTTATTACTATTGCCATTTTCACTCTGAACTGTCCCCGGTATTATTTCACTTGTTCCACTTGACACGCTAAATCAATTCTGTTTTCCAACGTTAAATTCTATGTTATCAAACTTCATACAATATTACGTAACGTTTTCATTTTAGTCAGTTTACCTACTAATCCTATAATTTTACACTCCTTGCAAGTTCTATACATCCTAGGAATAATTCTATGTGTGCGTCGGTGGCACAGGGGTTAGGACTCTCGCCGATCATGCACATGGTCCGGGGTTCGAGCCTACGCCGATGCACACCTGATATCTATGGTCGGCCAGAGAATTTTGGGCTACCGATATCCATGCTGAAAATTCCACACTTGTACCAAAAGTACGGTGTGGAATCAAGCTGTAATCAAAAATTAAAAAAATTAAAAATAAAAATTCTTTTGCGACTTGACATTTAACTATGATTATAATCACAAATATTTTAGTTTTAATTGCATATCATACTGGTATTATTATTTTATGCATTCACGCCTATGATTCAATTCCCTCACTGGAATTAACTTCTTAAAAACCACTTATATACGATTGTACAACTTGATAATAAATTCGTTGAAAAGAGTCTCTTCGCTGAACCACTTGTTTTGGTTTTCTATATGTAACAATAGGAATTTTCCATGAATTAAAAAATTTCTTTATCGATGACGTCTCATGGTTCATTTGTGTAGAATTTTGTCAGTTGAGACTATTGAATGGCATTTTTCAGAAATTCGTAATGATAATAGATTAGAAAATATTTAATCAGACATGAATCATGTATGCTACTTAGTGAATAATCACACTATTCGATTGCTCAGACGTCTGTAAATGAAACCGATGTCGGGAGAGAATCGACCCTGATTGAATCAGTCAGTCAGTCAATCGTGGAACAACATGACATAACGATAGTGTTGGGTAAAGTTAACATGAGGTGGTAAAAAGCCTTTGACCCATATTTTGGTGTTTTAAATAGACGCTTTCAAGGAAGTGATGTTTCCCAAGGGAATTCAACTTAAGTGATAGACGTTAGCGATGACAATTTTAGGCATTAGCTGACCTTGTGTAGGATTCTACGTTCTCAGTGAAATATAAGACTCAAGCGCTATAAGTTTTGAAATTCCAGAAGTGCCTGAGTTATTTACAATCTTGACGCATAACGTTCCTTATTTTCCGGACTAACTACTGACCGGCGTCGGTGACGAGGAATCGAACCCCTGACCACTCGTGTTGCTGGTGAATAATAAATTAATCTATTCAAACCAAAAAGACAAAAAGCGAAAACAGATGAACTTACATATAATCGTGGTTTACTAACTGGACTTGTATGAAGTAAAAAGTCAGCAAATGTTGGGATATTTAATTCAACTTGTAATTTTTTAATCGAATCCATCCATGACCAATTCTTTTCTACATGGAATTTATCCGACAGTGTTGAATCCCAAAATAAACGTTTTGGCCAAGCTGTTGTCTGATTGACAAGACCAGCACCAGTTTCATTTGTGGCATTTCTATCCAATAACCAAATGCCACCAATAATTGGTGCCGCCTTTTTTATCAATGGATGTGCACCAAGCCAATTTCTTATTGTTGTTGATGCACACGAGTCAAAAAATTGTGCTACTTTAAACTTGGCAGAATTTCTTTCGCCATATGAATTTTGATAAATATTACGTAATGAATGAATGATAGCGTGAACATTCACTTCAGAGAGATGTTCAATCATAGGTCGATCAAATCGTAGCAGACGTCGATTTCGACCGCTTTTAAAATAATCTTGTATTGTATCTTTACCAAATGCACCAGAGATAACACGATGTGCTTGAACTGCTGGTTGTTCAGCATCTTGATCAGGATGAAATGGAGTATAGTAAGAACCACAAGCATATTCATAAAAATTTTCACATGGTGATACTGATGTATTCATATGTGATACAATAGAACTTGAAGAGAGGAGACATTCTTTACTATAACATTGATTACGATTAAACCATTTTTCATTTTGTTCACGTTTCCAATAAACTACTACTAATATAAACAAAATAAAGAGTAGAATTGGTCCAATAATAGAAAATAGCACTTGAAAACGCTTAAAGGCATCAGAGATTTGATTACTTCTACGAACAGATATTCGATGTTGGATTGAATCGACCATTGTTGTTTTAAGATTATTAACACGTTCAAATAAGTAACTTTTTTTACCATTATCATCTTGTGTATCTGATGTGTTCACAATGGTAATATTTTCAGTATTATCACTAAACACTTGATATTTAAAATTTGTACCTAAATTCAGTGAATTTGTTGGTGAAGATGCAGATTTTGATACGGATATTACACTATCAGTCATATTGCGCGGGAAAATAGAATAGTAAAAAAAAACAAATAAATACGGCGGAAAATTTAAAATTCAAAAGTTAAATGTTAAGGGTTAAACGTTTGATAGTTGAGTAGATTGTGAGATATTCAGTTTTTACTAAATGACAGTAATGTCACTCGCTTGCATGCATATATATATACATATATATGTTCAACAAATAGATCAAGTTTTTCTATATGTGCTCAAAACTGTGCTGGTTAGCATGCACACACACACACATAAATAAAGTCACAGACATACATGTGCTTATCAATTCATTGTGGTTAGCTGATATTACGAAGCATATAGATGATGTATGTTGAGAAAATTAGTTTGGTTTGGTAAGCATGATTATTCATTGAGTGGTCAGTGTGCAACATTGTAACATTTTGATTGGATGACATAATCATCTCTAAATGAGAAAACAGACTGTGAGTAAATGCGAACACATACGCACATATATGAAGACATGTTGATAGATAAACTAAATAATGCATATCATTATAAGTCATCAGAAGGGTTAAAATATAGGAGACGTCAGTGGCACAGTGATTATGACTCTCGCTGCCTATGAACATGGTCCGAAATTCGATTTCCTGCTAACGCACACTTGATATCAATGGTCGGCTTGCAATATTTGGGCTACCGATATTACATGCTGAAAATTTCATACTTGTACCAAAAATACGGTGTGGAATCAAACTGTAATCAAAAATCAAAATTAAAATTATTATTATTAGATCCTTTAATTCCTAGAAGAACACAGGGCTTCAGCCACAAAGTCTCCATTGCCTTCGGTTCTCTGCCAACTTTTTCACCCCGCTCCATGTCTGCCCACATGCTTTCATCTCCTCTTCACATGACCTCCTCCAGGTCACCCTCGCACTGACGACCAACTCGCCGCTTCCCTTTCGGATCTAGTGATGTCACTTGATGGTTCGATTTCTCAGAGTATGGCCAATCCACCTTCATTTCTTCCTGCCTATTTGTTTCGCAATCGGTTCCTGCTGTGTTGGTTCGCTCCCAGAGATCTTTGTTGCTGATCTTCTCTGGCTGGCCATCTGATCTTGAGTATTGAGCGGAGACAACTGTTGATGAAGGTCTGAAGTTTGTTTGAGATACTCTTTATGACTCGCCAAGTCTTTGATCCGTTTATATGTACATATATATATATATATATATATATATATATATATATATAGAATATTCTAGAATAGTATCCAATGACAATATTAGTTTTTTATATAATATTGCTTTTAAAACAAGCAATAAAGGTTGAAAACAGCTGAGTGCAAAGTGCCAAAATCCTCAATAACAAAACATCTTGTGGATTACATACATGATATCAACACGGTCAAGTCATTCACCGTTGTCAGCAAACAAAGAAACAAGAAGATGCTTCCAATTGCAGGGGCTTGTACAATTCGAATTTACAAACCAGCTCTCTGTATACAAAAGGAGATGGTCGTCACTCTGAATCTACCATGGTAATACGTTTTACTTATTATTCTCTACTTGTTATTGCCATTATTCTACCTCTACCTCTTCTTCTTCTTATTATTGTTATTATTATCATTATTATTATTCTTGATTTATTTAAAACCATGCTTTATCCGTATGATTATCTTAACTCACTTCAACACTATTAAAATTGTTATTATAACTACTACGATTGATATTAGTCTGTTGACAATTCTCGTTATATTCCCTAATGACTAATTGTTTATCTAAGTGATGTAATTCAAGCGTAATGCAATTTATCTTAATTTTGATCTCTCATACTCTCTCTCCCCTTATCTCTTTGAACATGACCTGGAAAACATTCGCACGTATCTTTCTGCATGACTAATTCAATGTAGTTTATTTACTTATCAGACTTATATCTCCCAATGTAATTTTAAAAGTATATATATCCGTGTATGTAGAGTATTCAGCTGACGAGTTCTACCGAAATTTGATGAATTCATTAAATCCTGCTTTATTAACAGCCGTTATTGTTTGTTTTAAATTCGTATCGAGAAATAAATGTTTTCACTAATATCGATTTGTTAAGTCAGATCAAGGGAATAACAGTTCATTAAAGATCCCTAAATTATAATAATAACAATAATAATAATAAACATATAATGTTACACAGAATATCAAAAGTCAATCTGAACGAAGAATATTCTCAATAATTTCTTCTCTTCATGTTATTACAATTATAAAATATAATATTTATTGTTTTCGTTACAATAATAATGGCCAGTTATGCGACGGATACACGTACAGTTCGCTTACGTCTCCTACACACAGCTAAAGAAGCTTTTGCAACAAGATTGACTAAACCGTAACTTTGTATCCAAAAAGAAAACGTCCAGACGCTGTTCCTACCGTGGCCAACCATGGATTGATGATTCTTCTTCTCATGGAAGGCACCCAAAGAAGACAAAGCAACTCAGTATGAAAGGCAAAAGTGGCGCAACAACGAATTTCTGTGTAAATGGCGATTTTCAGATTTTATTTTTACATTTTTAATTTTATTATAGCTTGATTTCACATAGTATATTAGTACAGGTATGAAATTTTCAGCATGTGATATCGGTAGACCAAATTTAGCAGGCTGTCTTTTGATATCTAGGAGTGCGTCGGCCGGAGATCGAACCCCTGACGATATACATGGTCGGCAAGCCTCCTAACTGTTGTGTCACTGACACCAGTTGGAGCGGTGGAAGGCAAAACACCTGGTGAAAGGTGTACATCATTTAAGTGTATGCGTAAATCAAGTTTCTTAAAAATGTCCTGTTACTAATTCTGTTGTCTTACCCCGTTACATGCTGATGATCTAACAATTTCTGTCCCAGTTATTTCCACATTAATTTTCAGGGGTTGGTTTGTAAGGATTAAATTTGGTTTTACGAGTTTTACCGCGGACTGATAATAGTTAGGGAACCACTGAAAACCAGCAAGGATTACCGCACAGCTGTCTGATCCCAGTTTATGAATCAACCGCAGTACGCATTCATATCAGTGAAGTTCGAAACCAGGACTTTCCGGTTAAAAGGCTAGCTCGCATACCATTCAGCCACTAAGACCCGATTCAGTGTCCAGCTAATGATATTCAGCTCCTACCAATTCGTGATTTAGCGTGACTGGCATCAACAAATGCAATCGGTGAGAAATCCATTCTAACACTTGACCTCACCAGTCACGACTTCTCACTAGAACTCCAGGAAACTGTGTCCTGTAGGAAGCCACTAGCCAGCATAAGATTAATTTTCAAAAGTTTGGTTTTTAAGGATTAAATTAGCGTATATGAGTTTTACTACGGATTGATATCAGTTACAGAAGCACTAAAGACCAAGGAGTGCTAGACGGCCGGTTGTTTCATCATAGTTCGGGATCAGGTTATTATGACAGGAATGGCTTTGTCATATGAAGTTAGCCAAAGATTCTATTCAGACGATCTTCAACTGTACACCCCAACTAACTGTCGAACTCTTAGCTTCAATTTCAGGCATGAAAGAGACTTCTGTGAACTATTTCAGTTCATACTCTTGTCGAAAATATAAGTCGAACATGATCACCTATCTTCTCGACATCCGTCTCTCTTATCCAGTCACTATTTGTTGATCATTTCTTATTTTGATGATTTCTCTATATCATAACAGTGACATCAAAAGGTGATTTAGTTTAAGATTCAATGCACACAAAATTCATGAAATGTTCTTCAAACTATATTGAAGTTGAACTCAATAAAGTTTGAAAAAATGCAAATATTTTCTTTTCAAATTGCATAGTTTTATAATATTTAAAGTTTAAAAGTTCACCATTGCGTAAAACCTGTTAGAAAGCAGACACAACCCCATATTATTTACGAATTTATTTGTTTTAAATAATCGACTCTTTAAACATGAAATATTGAAATTATGTTGAACTGAAAAATCATTCACTGTTACATGATGGCTGAAGGTCATCTTCGTTCAGAAGATCATGATTTTAGCCTAGATAACTGCGATTTCTAAAAACATCTTGCATACTTGTTCTATCAGTAATATCATGTGCTTATCAAATTGCAACTCTACGCATCATCATTATCGTCATCGAACAAAGCATAAAATGGCAGTAAAACCTCTCTCTCTCTGTCTCAACTTTCTTCATTGACTTCGAAAAAGCCTTCGACAGACAGTGTAGATCAAGAAGTATTTTGGGAACTACTTTAACACTACGGTGTGCTGTGCCAAAGTCCTGGTCAACATCACTCAACAGCTACATGACAGTGATACGTGTCAGATGATCGACAACAGAAAACTCGGCGAGGCGTTCGAAGAGCATACAGGAGTAAGACAAGCTGGCTGGCAACTTATTATCACCGATAATAGTCTTAATGATATTTGTCCAATGTTACAAAACTCGAAGACTTGCAAGCGGAAACCAACATATTTGTAGAAGGTGTTAGCTGAGACGTCAGGATTGTAGGTGATCACAGAGGAGACGGAGGTGGTGAAGACGACCTATGAACCAAAACAACAATAGCAATCAGCACCAATCAACATCATCGGGAGAGATTAAACAGAGGTTGCCGCCTTCCCCTTTTTAGTCAGTAAGCATCGTTTCGACTACAGGCAGTCAGAAGTGACTAAGATATCAAAGCTAACTAGAATCGGAAAGGCAAGACACGCAGGCTCTTATCAACTTGAAACCAATTTGAAAATCTTCCGTTGACACTAAGTTTAAGAAAGAGTATTGGCATTTTCAATACCAAATGTGAAGTCAGTCACTTCTTCTATTCGGGTCAGAAACTTGACCAGCGGGTTACGAAAAGGATTTCCAACAGCTTGTTGCAGACTTTCATCAACAACCACCCTCTTCGCTGGCTGAATACTGAAGATAAATTGGCCAGCCGGTCAGAATGAAAAAACAAAAAAAAAGAATTCTGGCTGGGAAAAAAAACCAACAGGCGGGAGTCGATCGCTCAACAAATATTTAGGAGAAAATGGAGATAGACTGATCAGCCATGCATCGAGGAGGCTGCCGAATGACATCCCACCGAATCCAAGCGAGTGCTCGAGTGGAATTCATATAGGAAGCGACGGCTGGGTTGTCAGTTTTATTATTGTCTGAAAAATCAGATTGACTATATATAAAGCAATAACAACGATTTGTGTAGAAAAAGTTAACAGAATTCAATTCTTCTTCTTATGTTAACTCTAACGGTGTATACAAATTTACATGCCTCTGTGGGAGTTTTTACATTCGAAGAATAAAAAGAAGAAGTACACACCTCTGATTTCCTGAACA